GATGAAGTGGTGCAGGGTCAATCAGCAAAGATCTGGTTTATTATTAAAAGAAAATACACCGCACTCAGCCATGAAAATGATTTATCAAGTAGGAAAGGAAAGAAAATAGGTACCAGTTCAACGCTGCAGACTGCAATATGTTTGGATTTGTTGGCTGAGAGAGGTCTTTGATATCTGGAAAACATTTGTTGCTTCAAACTACTTTAGCTGCTTTAACCTGTCATATTTACTCGGGGTGGGAATAGTTTTGGTGCAATCCACTCCATAATGCCCTGCCAACATTTTTGTTCTCTGTAAATCAAATAAATATGAGAGTAAGTAATGCTATTATTTAATGATGCTAACAGCATTGATGTTACTGTACAGCAATCTATAGAAACAAACACACACACAAATTGTCTGTGTTATTCCCACAGTATAAAACATTACATTACATTACGCGCAACGAGTCGTTTGGCTGATGCAGAGCGTAGTGCACGCGCTGGGGTGTACGGTTTAACCATGTCCTGGATGTAGGAAGGGCCAGATCCATTCGCAGCATGGTAAGCAAGTACCAGTGTCTTGAAGTGGATTCTAGCAGTTACCGGAAGCCAGTGAAGGGAGCGGAGGAGCGGAGTGGTGTGGGAGAATGTAGGAAGGTTGAAGACCAGACGAGCCGCTGCATTCTGGATGAGCTGCAGAGGTCGGATGGCACATGCAGGTAGACCAGCCAGGAGGGAGTTGCAGTAGTCTAGGCGTGAGATGACGAGAGCCTGGACCAGAACCTGAGTCGCTTTCTGAGTCAGCTGGGGACGTATCTTCCTGATGTTGTAAAGCGTGTATCTGCAGCAGCGGGTTGTAGCAGCTATGTTTGCAGTGAAGGACAGGTTGTTATCTAGGGTCACACCCAGATTCCTTGCAGTCTGAGTCGGGGAAACAACTGAGGTGCCGATGTTGATTGTTAGGTCAAGAGTGGGACAATCTTTTCCCGGAAGGAAGAGCAGCTCAGTCTTGTCAAGGTTGAGCTTGAGGTGGATGAGCAGACATCCACTGAGAGATGTCAGCTAGACAAGCAGAGATGCGTGCAACGACCTGGGTCTCTGAGCGGGGAAAGGACAGAATTAATTGGGTGTCATCAGCGTAGCAGTGGTAAGAAAAACCATGCGGGCTAATGACTGATCCGAGCGAGTTTGTGTACACGGAGAAGAGGAGGGGACCAAGAACAGAGCCCTGAGGGACCCCCGTAGTTAATTGACAAGGGTCGGACTCAGACCCTCTCCAAGTCACCCTGTAGGTACGGTCTTTCAGGTATGAGGTGAGGAGGGAAAGTGCAGAGCCTGAAACTCCAAGTTTTTGGAGAGTGTGAAGGAGGATCTGATGATTCACCGTGTTGAATGCGGCAGACAGGTCCAACAGGATGATGACAGAGGAGAGGGATGCAGTTTTGGCAGTGTGCAGTTCCTCCGTGACAGCAATGAGAGCAGTTTCTGTGGAGTGACCTGCCTTGAAACCAGACTGGTGCGGATCCAGAAGGTTGTTCTGATTGAGATAACAGGAGAGTTGTTTAAAGACAGCGCGTTCAAGTGATTTAGACAGGAACGGGAGGAGAGAGACAGGCCTGTAGTTTATAACATCAGACGGGTTGAGAGTGGGTTTCTTTAGGAGAGGGTTTACTCTTGCCTCCTAAAAAGCTGCTAAACTGCTAGTTAGTAGGCAATTCATTATAATGTGCTTTGGTGCTTTGTTTGTTGCAGTTATATGTGTAAACTATCATGGCATCGTCTTCAATTGCAGAACCAAACACACACAAACATACACACATATTGGTAAATAAGAATTCACAGGATAAACCCCCTGAGATGTGCCAGCTTGTTTTCACACATGCAGACAGACACACCTGGTACACTGTATGTAAGCATGTGATACCTGTGAGAATGTGTCACCTCACTCTGTTCCCACTGGCTCTGAGGATGGATCAGTGTGTGTGCGCGTGTGCGTGCACGTGCGTGTGTGTGTGTCTGGTGTGTGTGTTTGTATGTGTTTTTGTAGTGGGGAATGGAATATATCTGGGCTTCCCTGCTGTTTTTTTTACTCTTTACAACATGTTGTTATCTTCTATATAAGAGATCAGAGTAGTTAATTTGACATCATTGAAACATTATATGTTTGTGTGTGTGTGTGTGTGTGTGTGTGTGTGTGTGTGTGTGTGTGTGTGTGTGTGTGTGTGTGTCTGTGTGTGTGTGTGTGTGTGTGTGTGTGTGTGTGTGTGTGTGTGTGTGTGTGTGTGTGTGTGTGTGTGTGTGTGTGTGTGTGTGTGTGTGTGTGTGTGTGTGTGTGTGTGTGTGTGTGTGTGTGTGTGTGTGTGTGTGTGTGTGTGTGTGTGTGTGAAGGGGCGAGAGGAAGGGGAGGGATCAGGGACAGGTGCTTAAAAGAACCCCTTTGACTCATGGTCTCTTCTCTAATTAAGTTTAGGTTCTTTATGTGCATAATGTATGTGCATTTGTGTGTGTGTGTGTGTGTGTGTCTACTTATCTTCCATGGGAAAGGTTTGCATTTACCACTCCCTTACCCTTTGATAATCTATATTATCTCTTCTGAAAGCCCATTTAGTCCGCTCAAATCGGATCAGAGATCTTTGAAAATTCAATTTGGTGGCAAAATAATATATTTATTTCATAGCATTTGTCTTCTTTCTTTCAGATAGTGTATGTTTTGTTCTGAATTCTAGCAGACGCCCCACTGAAACAGTTAAGTTAATATTATCAATTAAAAATATAAGAAAGTATTTGTAGCAATGAAAATAACATTTTGTGTGCTTTTCTGTTCTATTACAGTTAAATCAACTGACGTTAAGAAATGTACTATATCCCTGATATTAAAGGAAGACAACACTGACTGCACCAAGTACTATGTATAGGTACAAATTAAACTATAGGCGGATTTTAAAAACCTTTATGATAGTATTTATGTTGTGGATACATGTGCTGTTGTATACATGTAAGGCTGATCTGCAAATGTTTGAAGTATTATAAGTCTGATCTTCTCATGTAAAGGCTACATTTCTGAAGAATGTTTTCACCAGATCTGTTGCTGCATGTTGGGAGATTTACAGCAGTGTACAGATTGATATAAAACAGAGATGGTTTATTCTCTGTGTGTAAAAATAAGCCTGTATTCACCAGCTGGGAAGATGGTCTTTACCCTGAGTGGGAGTTGTTGGCTGAACAGAAAGAAAAGAGAGAATTATTTTAAGGATGATACTGGTGCTGGTGAGAGATTGTTTTGTCTTTTGTCACACACCATTACATAGTTGGGTTCTTTATGTTAGGGATTTACTGTGTGTCTTTATTTCAAAACTGCTTGGGTGAAATGAGATTTCTCAAAGTCCGTTTTGATTTGTTTTGCAATTTGTCACAAAGGCTTTCTTTATCAGTGTTCAGCCCCATTGTGTTTTGTTTAATCCAACAAGTGATGTAAGACTTGTCTATCAGGGTGCAGATTGATGAGGAGATGGGTAAATGTGAGACATTATAAAGTGATTGTGATGCCTACAAATTAGTTACAATTTAGCCATATTTAGGGATTTATTTCAATATGGGATAGCAAGGGACCCTTTCTGCTTTAAAACACAATTACCTTGCACATGTATTGACTCTACAGTTTACTGATTGCATAAACACAGCAACCAACCTGAAGATGTTTGTTTCAAATTTGTTTTGAGCAGAGATATTGTCCAAGGGACTGAGTGCATCCAGTCCAAATGTACACTGTCTGCCTGCTTAAGCAAGTCGAGTCGTGCCTGCCACCCACAAGCTATCTTCCACCTGCTGCCCACCTACATCGACAATAGTGAAGCAGAGCGCGGGACAAACACAAACAGACACAACAGATTGCCACGCTCTTCAGATTAACCTTTATTCTCCCCGATGAGACCTGTTGTCTTTACCTGTGAGTGCTCCGCATTCACAACAATATGGACACCACGGTGAAACTATACTCACCTTTTCTTCCTCTCACTGTGAGTTAATGCTACATGATCACACTTGAAAGCTCTTGAAAGGCAATTAAAAGTATGTGGTTGGAGCAAGTGTGTTTCCTCGAGCCGCATTTAAGGGCTCACACAAAAAACAAAGCATTTGTTTTCAGACAATGTATGGCAACGATTCGTTATTTGTACTGCATTATCCCATTAAACCCAACTAAGTCTTTGTTATTTTAATGAGCACTCCTAAGTGTTCACTTTACTTTTCCTATCACAGCACAACCTGCAATCATGGAGAGAGTCAGGGAGGGGGAGAGGAGGGGGAGAGGAGAGGAGGGGATCGGGTTTCTCAGCCGCTCTGTACCCTAATCCAGGATTTGGAAACGGGATGAGAAGAACGCAGGTAAGGACAAACACAAGTAATAACAGCACCGACATGGGATTGGTACGTGGTGGGGGGGGGGGGGGAGGGGTGAGCAGCTTGATAGGAAATAGGGGGGCCTCATATGTCCAGAGAGGGGTGGTGAGCTGTAGGTGGGTTGTATATAAATACCTGCAGTAGAACAAGGGCGGCAAAAGGCTGAGGGTGGGACAGACACTGGTTGATCTGCATCTGTTGTGGAGAGAAAAGAGACAGAGACGTGCACTGCAGACGCCTCAATGAGGGACAGTTTGATAGTTGAGAAACACATTTGAACAGATCCATTAGTAACCTCATCACTATTCACCTTCTAGAGTTTTGGCTGAAGGTACAGATGCGGCGTAGACTTCGATGAGTTCTGACTGAAACATCCATTTCCCTTTGAGAGGAAAAAGGTTACGGTTCACAGTTTTCCACCTGCGCTTCCCAAGTATCTGAAGTGAGAACTGTGCTTGGTTGAAATAGGGAGAAAAAGGTTGAGGAAGACAAGAACAAACAAGGCAGAACAAGAAAAGGCTCAAGAACAAGAAAAGGCTCAAGAAGACGAAAGGCAAGACACAATTAGGGACATTTCAAGAAGATAAGGAAGACACAGGACAGGGAAAGCAACAATGGAAGACAAGTCCAATTAAATAAGAGAAAAAACTAAGAAAATAAACCATTTAAAGGAATCCCGTCAAAATTCAGTGAACCATCGGGACCCTTCGAGGGAGGTCAGAGAAGAATGGCGTGCCAGGCATTCAGCGCCGACTCTTTCAACACACTTGGAGATTCCGCCTTGCCGATCCTCATGCACCACGTCTCCACGGGCGACTGCCTGCCAGCCAACTCTCACACTCACAGCATGGTTTCTGCAGGTAATATGCACTCAAATGATCTTCTCTCCTGTGATGATACACACATCTTCCTTTGTAAGAAATCTTTCTCCTCAAGATTCAAAATCAAGGCTTTTAATGTCATGTGTACATAGCTACAGTGTAGATACCAATGAAAATCTTGGAACACAATTAGAATAAAATACTGCAAGTAAATACAAATAAAATAGAAATAGTGCAAGGAGAGTCTACAAGTAATTGGAATATGATATAGATAAATCCTCCTCCTGTGTGCCTTAACTTTTTGTTGCCCATTATTTGTTCTGAGAAAGTTATGCTTTCACGGTGGCAAAGCTAGAGGAGAGTGGGAGTTTACAGTGTGTGAACGACACGGACCACGACCCCCATTGTGTTGTTGTGGTGTTAAATCCCAGCTGCAATAAGCCAGGCCTCTAACAACTACTTCACTTGAGCCTTGTAAGGCTTTTGGAAGAGAGCACATTGGCATAGAGCCTCTTGCTGTGACAAAGCAAGACTTACTCCAGTTGAAAATGACTACAGTATTGAGCATATATGAAGTCCCAGGGGGTTCTGCAGATGAGCGATGGCTCGTATAGTTCCTCCTATAGACCTCTAACTGAAACAACAATGCTCCGCTCCCCATGCTGATGCTTCCTTGTCGGGCACAGTTGTGTTTTTCAGGGAATTGGGAGAATGAATTGGATTGGAAAATACATTTATTCAAAAGCAACTCAAATTATGTAAATGTATTTAATCAGCTGGTTTGGCCCAGCTGTCTCTACTCAGTGGATAATTGCATTGAGGATATGTTATCAGTATTGCAAACTCCCCAAAGTCTCTTTTTTTCACAATGGAGAAAAACTTCCTGTGGGTTTCAGTGAGTGCTGATTGTTATAGCTTAGAAAAGACTGCCGCATTATAAATACAATGCATTTATATATGGCAGCACTTTTAAAACACATCTTGCAAATAGATTTTCAGCCTAGTCATTATTGTACTTGTGGAATCTTGCTGGCTTATATAATTGTTTTACTTCCAATGAGTCTTTGAACAAAACGTTTAATGTTAAAATAAATAGACAACATTTTTTTTCTTCGTGTCACACAGAACGATTTTAAAAGCAATGTATTTCTATTGGTAGTATGTTTCGTGCCTGCAGCACGTTTTTTTGTCCGTTCGGGTCTTGGAAGACCGGAAGCTGTGGGGTTCATAAAAACATGTTCTTACTCAATATCAAGCCACGATTATTGCTTTTATTTTAAATCGTATAATTTTGGACTTTTGTTTGTCTGTGAGGAAAATAAATGGGGTTCAGAGCCTCAGAATACTAAAATCTGTATTTTTTAAAATCTTTTTTTCCTTCTAATTTGTTATTCTTTTCTAAATAACACACTGTTATTTACTCACCAATAACACACAATTATCCTTGTTTTTATTTATTTGTTTAATTCCATAATCTCGGGCTTTTTTGGCGTCCGTCAGGAACTGAATTTCAAAATAAAAATAACCGGAAACAGACGTAGACCGATAAGGGATATTTCGAGCATCATTGCGATACAGCATGGAATACACAGCCACTGAACTGATTACCCAAGATCCTCAGCTATGGTTTAAGCTCGCTGATTGGATGTTTTAGCCGCAATGCATGTAGGGATATGTTAATGCGATATGAAATCCGAAAAACATTTCTGAGTTTAGGATGGCCGAAGACACTACACTACCCATAATCCCCAGCTATCGTTTAGGACTACTGTCCCCGTGATTAATCTTCAAGCTCTGGGATTGGATGTTGGAGTGGCAGTGCGCCAAGGTTACGCCGAGCGTCAAACAGCTGTTTGAAATGGAACGAAACCACGCCAGACTATCCAAAACTGGAATCGAACGCCCCCCAGAACTACACATGCTGGCTATTGTGTTTCACAAAATGTTCTATGGGACTGAACGTTTTCGTTTTTCCCACAATTAGAAGTTGCCAGTATTAAACACATTGGTGTTATCAAATGTAAAACATATAATTAATAAATGGGTGAAAATCGCTTGTGTCCATAATGCGCAGCATTAATATATACCCACATGACAGCTCATTGTTACTTTGTAATTCTACTCCACTACAATTCAAAGGTTAACCTGGTATTTTTACTCCACTACATTTATTTGAGTTACTTTGCAAATTCTGATTAATGATGTGAAATATAAACAACCCTTAAATCAGACTTTAGTTACACCTGAGTAAAATTCAGGTAAGGTGATTGTCAAGTGCCAACAATCAGGAGAGATATTTGATAGTTGGTGCTTGAGAAGACTAAACATTTATCTGCAATTGACATGAATGGAAACGAGTAATAAAGTATATTCATAGTTATTCTCTACTAATAGTTCATTAAAGACTGTATATAATTGCTATTTGGCACATCCCTTTCAAGATTTCAAGATTTTCTAAGGTTTATTGACATATCATATACACAACTGGTGTAGTTATGAAATGAATGAAAAACTTAGGTCGCAGCTGAGGTTCCTCAACAGTGCATTACAAGACATCTATCAATATGTGTGTACCTCCACCATTAAACTGTCATATTCTGCACATTTCTTATACTATCTACATACATGAGAGTATAATTCATATGTATAATATCAGTTAAAATAAGTGCTTCTACATAGTTAACATTGCAGGAAAGCAATATATTAGACGTTAAGTACTTTGTCAGGCTTAATATTTATCTGTAGATAGATACCCCCAAAGTTTTCTTCTTATTTAAAAGAAGACCTTAATCTGTTATTTAATGTTTAAATAAAGGTTAAATCGTTTTTCTGTTTTGCACCTCCTCCTATTAATATCTTTGTACATCCTGCACTAAACTGTTTTATTGTAGAGATCACTTAAAGTATCTTCTTGATTTTTTATATTCTATATTTCTATCATTGACCTTCTACTTTACCCCTATGAAAGTATGTACTCTTAATATTTTTTTCATCAAATATAACACATAAACACAATAATTCAATAACGTGCTTTAACCACTAGGCGGTGCACACAAGGTACACACAGCCATAATAACTTTGTATTATTAGTGTAGGACACTTATGTACAACATCTGAAGAGTTTTATTCATGTTTTCACATAATTTTACAGCATATTGCTATATTATTCAAAGAAAATCAGTAATATCTTTAAAAACTACAAGTCCTTTTATATCAGCTGTGCACCGTTATGGTGTAAATATAACCTATCTACGAATTAGATCAAATGTAAAAGTCAGCCGAATTAGTGTTGATACTGCAAGGAGACGTATTGTATGAAGAGAAATTGAAGATGTTGTTTAATTGTTGATATATTTATGATCCACGTCAAGTATTCAGCTTCGGCGGCATTTCTTCCAGTTTTTCCAAAGGTCTTCTCATCAGGGCTCTATAAATAAAGAACTACGGCAGATCTGTAATGCAGCCGAACCGTGTATTACAATGCCGTTATGTGATGACTTTCAAAGAGAAAAGCACAAACACTCGGAATAAAGTATTATTTTCTTTAAAAAAAAAAAAATTCTGATTTGATATGGCATGAACACCATATCCCTACATGCATTGCGGCTAAAACATCCAATCAGCGAGCTTAAACCATAGCTGAGGATCTTGGGTAATCAGTTCAGTGGCTGTGTATCGCAACGATGCTACGTCTGTTTCCGGTTATTTTCATTTTGAAATTCAGTTCCTGACGGATGCCAAAAAAGCCCGGGATTATGGAATTAAACAAATAAATAAAAACAAGGATAATTGTGTGTTATTGGTGAGTAAATAACAGTGTGTTATTTAGAAAATAATAACAAATTAGAAGGAACAAATATTTAAAAAAAATACAGATTTCAGTATCCTGAGGCTCTGAGCCCCATTTCTTTTCCTCACAGACGACAAAAAAAGTCCGACATTATAAGATTTAAAATAAAAACAATAATCGTGGCTTGATATATATGAGTAAGAACAGCTGAACCCCACAGCTTCCGGTCTTCCAAGACCCGAACGGACAAAAAGACGTGTTGCAGGCACGAAACACACTACCAATAGAAATATTGCTTTTAAAATCGTTCTGTGTGACACGAAAAAAAAAGGGGAAAGTCGTGTTGGTGAACACGAATCAATAGATTAAATGTCGTGACTATAACACGAAATGCCGTGAGACTGGGTTGAACATACTGTAGCACATATTAGAGACTGTGGACATCAAGCTGCATACAAAGATGAATACATGAATAATTATGCAATTAGCAGAGGACATGAACAGAGCCATGTCCGACTACATTTAAATACACTAAGTAGAGAAGAGCATTTACTAAATCAAAGGCTTTAAGAGGAGTCTTTATGAACTGTAACTTGGCAACAGTGTTGTAATAAATGCAGTTAGAGGCAGTCTTAAGGTTGGTTTCCCAGATTTTACAAGCATATGTTTGGGCTTGTTGATTCGCTTTACTTGTTAATTTCAAACCACTTGTTCTGAAGGTTGTTTAATGTGTAATATCTTTCACATGACTGACTGCATTTACAGTGAAGTTTAAAGCTGTACCAGTATTCAATTATCCAGTAGCTGACATTTATGTCCAGTGTGTCTAGCTTAAATAATAAATGTGTTACATTTAGATTGTTTTACTCTCTGTTCTAGCTCCAGCCTGACATGGTGATGTGCTATGGGAAAACTCAAATAAGAACCGACATCAACATCTTTCTGTTCGATGCGATAGCTTTCTTTAGCAAACAAAGCCTACAAAATATGTTTTACATTGTATTTTTGATCAGAGAAGTAAAGGAATAGCTTTAACGTGAGTGAGAAATTGCATGTCAATCCTAGTGAAGAGGCTTGTTCTACATATCCCTCTTCAAATACATTTTCAAAATATGATTGCATCCTATATAAACCCTTAGCAGTTGTTCTAATTTGAAAACATATTTGTCAAACTCTTTCCCAACTGTATTTAATTAAGTGTTTAATCTGCTGCCGTTCTGTTTGTCTCCATCAGTGTCCTCCGGGCTGTCCCTGGGTCAGCCCTCCAAGCGCTCCCACATGCACCTGTCCAGCTCCTCCCTCAGCAACGCACTGGGCAACGCCCCCCCGGGACTACATTACCCAGTCACCCCCTGCCACTACAGCAACCAGCAGTATGGCATGATGGCAGGTGAGTGGTGGTGATGGAATTTGTAATAACTATTGCAGGGCTGTTAATTAAACTGTTGGTCAACCAACAAACGATTAATCATCAGGAACACTGATGGTTAATTAAGCATGTCATTAATGTAATCAAATGCTGCTGCTGACAAGCAAGTACTGAGGGTGGTTGAAAAATGATTACAGTGCAGACAATATTAATGCCCCCCCCCCCCCCCCCCTCTCCTCTTTCTGTAGCTCAGGAGATGCTCTCTGCCAGTATTTCTCAGTCTCGCATCCTGCAGACATGTGGTGTCCCTCACTCCAACATGGTGGGCAGTGGGAACCCATTGCAAGGTAATGATCACACACACACACACACACACACACACACACACACACACACACACACACACACACACACACACACACACACACACACACACACAGACACACACACACACACACACACACACACACACACACACACACACACACACACACACACACACACACACACACACACACACACACACAATACAAATAATTCCTGGCCTGGAGCTAAATCAGGTAAATTGAGCAGACAATTAGTTTATTCCCATTTAATTTTAAAATGTGTTACCAGTTAAAAATCTATTTCAGAGATGATTACTTCCCCTAATGTTTGAGCTCCTTAGCGCCCTTGTTAAACACAACCGTCAATGTCAACGTGTCGGTTCCTCTCAATCCTGCAGAAAGAGCAGAAATATTATTTAGAAGTTGTTATGTAAGAAACTGTCATAGGGAATATCTGTTTTGTTTTTTTCTTGCAACAAGATTCTGGTGGCAAATTATTACTTTTTATAACTGCCAGATAAAGCTTTTCACATTTAGCAGTTAGGTCTGTAAAGATGTCTGTTCCCTTTTTTAATTATAACAGTTGCTTTCAGAAATAAACATAGTAGATACAAATAATAAGTGGGTGGGAATGAGACCTAAAATGTAACCCTGCAGACGCTAAACAAACAACTTTTTCAGAGGAAATGAGATTGCAGCTTCTGTTTTAACAGACAACATTGATAGGGTTTTAATCATTTGAGTACAGACCCGGAGACATCAACCTTCTACCATTAATGGTCCAATAAAATGGTTTTGTCCGCAATGTCCCAGGTGGCGCTGAAATACATCAAGATTTAAATTAAACGGCTGGCCACGTTTATTACCTTCAGGAGGTCCTCCTCACAAAATGAAACCTGCTATAAGTGCTCAACAACAGCACTCAGCAGAGGGATGTTTGAGAGGAAAGGGCAGGGACAGAGTTAATAGCATTGAACAAAACTCTGTAATTATGTGAACTGGATGAGACGAGGTCACAGGAGAAATGTAGCCCTTTACATTTTCATTTCTAAAGCTGCACTAATCTATTTTTTATATTAGCAATGGATCAAATGACTTAGTGTAATGTGAAAGGTGTCTCTGTGAATCCAAAGGGAGTTATAAACACTGGCAGTTCTTCTGCTTTATGGAGATATTTAACCTCTTTTACCTCATCAACCTTGTTCCAGCCACAGCAGGCAAATTATTACCCCACTGTAGGCTTCCTGACCAGCATACAATGGCACTCACTGGAGCATGACTCAGCAAAAGAGTTGAGTATTTTCCTCCGTGGTTGGAGGAGACCAAAATAAAGCTAAAACTGGAATGGCACTTGGAGAGCGCTCATCTCTGTCAAGGGCCAATGGCGCATAATTGTGCTCCTCGGATAGTCCCCAGTTGGGAAGCTATTCTTCCGACTTGGGCGTATTCATGAGCATTAATAGTCGTAATGCATCAATAACATGGTATTGATATGTTGTTTTTAATCGCGCAGACTGTTTAAACAACACGTCTATATCTCCTTCAGAGTTGTAGGTCCAACAGTGAGAGTTATTGTGAATTTCCCTGTCTGGTACTTTTCAGTTTTTTTCCATGCATGTAAGTGAAATACAATATTTGTTTCCGTCACCATAATTCTGACCTGCTACAGTATTTGATTGGCTCTACCCTTTGTCGTAATTTTACACCTTTCCATCAAGTTTAATGAACATCTGGCCAGTAGAATTGATGTAGCCCTGGTGTTGAACAGACACACTCAGCCATGAATAATACCACCCCTCTGGTGGAGGTAATGAAAGGCAATATGGACTTACAGTTATCAGGTGGCCATAAAATGAATCCTAACAAATGCTATCGTAACACTCTATCGGCTGGACGTGTGAATTGGCATCTAAAACGTTGTCCAACATTTAAGGGTATTATATGAACACAGCAGTATGAAGTAAGTCTGTCTTTCAGTTTGTCTGCTCTCTATCTCTGCTGGGGTCCATGTGCAAAAAAGCCTGTGAGGTACTGAGTCCACATGTGATTTCAAAGGGGCTTGTTGTCCAGTCTGTCTCCACCACACACAACAAACTGATGTGTGCAGTGCAGCAGGGCTGTGTGCACTCTCCAGGGAGCAGTGAAGGCATCAGACGAGAACGAGGCAAACTCTTCTCTCTTTTTCTAACATGGTGAGGAGAACAAGATGCCTCTCCCTGGATCATCCAGCTCCCAAAACGACTGTTGTCTTTCTCAGGGGTAAAGAGTGTGGGCAGTTTGGAAAACTATAGGCAGATGTTTATTACCTCCTGGACGTAATGATGCATTATTTTTGCCACTTTTGGAAATCCTAACTTGTGCAGCAGGCTGTGAGGTGTTTTTCTGCATTCAGTATTGCTGCCACTGTAATCCTCCAGGGAGAGTCCTAATGTGTCTCAAACACTGCTGATGGTAGGCGATATTTAGCTATGTCAGAGTTTCAGACAAAGCTTTCTTGGCAATCCTATTCCAGTGTACTATAGAAACAAATATATTACCATGTGTTACATACTCAAGCTGAGAAGGAGATGTAGGATTGCACAGCCTCATCAAACTACATCCTTTATAAAGTTGAAAAACGTAACTTAATCTTCATGTCATGAAGGAAATTAGGCAGGTATGTTAGGCACTTATCCCATCACTAGATCTGTAAATGAAGTACAATCGGTATGTGATATAGTTACCACTGCATTACAATCCCACTGACACAAGAGGGGAGTGTTGCGTTGCTCATTTAACAGCAGATATAGTTTCAGCATCACTGATACAATCAAAAGAGCAATATTCCTGGGATAGTAGAGTGGACTGAAACCAGCATTTGGCTACTGTCAGACTTACCATCACAAATCAGGTTTTGCCTATTGTCAGTCCCTAAAGTGCGATGAAGTAACATTTTTAAATGCAGTTGTTTTTCTTCCACTGCAGCTGTGCTGAGAGTTGAGGCAATGAAAAGCATTATGTTCCAAATAACAATTAGTCATCCACCCATCTGCTAATCTGGCAGTCAATTGTCATCAATGCTGACAGAAAGAAGAAGCTCTTGGCAGCAATAGCCAGCAGCTCCACTAGGTTTCACATCAACAGCCACTTATGAGTACAAACTCTTGAATATCAAGGTAGAATCCTTTGAAGTGTTGTACAACAATAACAAAATGAATGGAGACAACTGAATTGATACCCTTTAAACCAGAAAGTTAACTCAACTTTGTGTGGCAGCACTGATGCCAAGGATTTGAATATTCATATATACAAGAAATGTGAATGAGCTTGTTACATTAAGGTAAACTGCAGAGATGAATATCTGAAATATATCAAGTAAAGGGATAGGCGAAATAATATTTATTCCTCAAAACACTTTAAAATTGTGTGATTATTAATTAACCATCACTTTATTAGTGAATGGAGCTGGCTCAGGTGTGTGTTACATAAGGCTAAACATAAATTGGTGACAAATCTCAATGGGCAGTGAAAGGAAATTGACACACTTAATAGAAAATACAATAATGGTTATCATAGCAAAAATATGACAATAATACAAAAATATAAGCCTGCTCTTCCAGCCGTTTTTTATTCACAGAGGTTCAAAGTGTCTCAAAGGGGCATGTCAAAACTTTTTCATGCTGTGGAAGTAAAGCCTGTCAGTGAACATGTGGGTAAAGTGTCCATGGTGCTCACACCCCCCTTCTGACAGTCTGAGGGTCTCCCTTGAGACTCCTACTGTATCAATAATGTCTCCTTCTCAAGCTGTCTTTCTCTTTCTCTAGGGTCTCTCACTCCTTGCTTGTACAAGTTTCCGGATCATGGTCTAGGCAGTGGTTCCTGTGCATTAAGCCATAGTTTCTCCACACTGCCCCCGGCCCTCCTCACCACTGATGAGGCCCCTGGGGTCCCGAGTATTTGCGACATGAAAACTGATCATAGAAAAAGCATGCGGGACCCAGAAGATGTCCCTCCCATGGACTCCCCGCAGATAAGAGAGCTGGAGATGTTTGCCAATGACTTCAAAATACGCAGGATCAAACTCGGTTAGTCTTATCACTAGATATTTTTTTTTAAAAACTTCAAACTGTACGAATCATCAACAAGGCCCGGGACCCCCACTGACACTTTACCTCAGCCACATCTACGGTGGCCCTGAAGTGCAAGTCAAAACAACATTTCACAAAACGCTACAGCATTTCACAAAACGCTACAGCATTTCACAAAACACTACAGCATTTCAAAAAACACTACAGCATTTCACAAAACACTACAGCATTTCAGAAAACACTACAGCATTTCACAAAACACTACAGCATTTCAGAAAACACTACAGCATTTCACAAAACACTACAGCATTTCACAAAACACTACAGCATTTCAGAAAACACTACAGCATTTCAGAAAACACTACAGCATTTCAGAAAACACTACAGCATTTCAGAAAACACTACAGCATTTCAGAAAACACTACAGCATTTCACAAAACACTACAGCATTTCACAAAACACTACAGCATTTCAGAAAACGCTTCAGCAATGTTGTTTTGACTTGCACTTCAGGGCCACCGTACACATCATAGACTCTATGCATTACATTAATGCACACAATGTACACAATATCTGTTTTTTTTATTATTACTGCACATATTTTATTCCATTCTATTTCAATGTAAATACTGCTATATTTTACTATATTTATTTATGTTATTATAGTTTTATTAAAATACTTTTCTATCTGTATTTTTTATTTCAATTTGACTTTTATGGGTGCACCACGACACCAAGTCAAATTCCTCGTACGTGTCAACCAACCTGGTAATAAAGCTGTTTCTGATTCTGATTCTGAATGAAAGACGTTTCCAGAAATGTTTCTGTTATGTAATGGGATTGCAGCTTCTCTTCTCCTTAGTATTATAAACATTATTTCTATTTCATTTTTACCTCCAGGCTACACGCAGACTAATGTAGGGGAGGCTCTTGCTGCAGTGCACGGCTCAGAGTTCAGTCAGACTACAATCTGCCGCTTTGAGAATCTGCAGCTGAGCTTCAAGAACGCTTGCAAACTCAAGGCCATTCTGTCCAAATGGCTGGATGAAGCAGAGCTGGCCGGCGGTGAGTCACATTCATCCACTCCACTCAAGAAACCCCTGTTTAGAGCATTTATTTTAACGTAACCATTACCTGTATTGTGTCAATATAAGTAGTAAATGCACTTATGAGTCATTTGATACCCCCTTATCGCATGACGCATACATCAGTGAGCTGTGCGCTGTTTCTCTTCTCCATGCAATAATAAGGTATTATTTTTCCTTTCTGCAGCCTTGTACAGTGATAAATTAGGAATGAACGAGCGGAAGAGGAAAAGGAGAACCACTATCAGGTATGACCTCTTACAAGCATATAACAATGCATACCATACAATGGTGTTTCAGTTTTATACAGTTTTCTCTTCTCTTTACCTTGCAGTCTGGGAGCTAAGGAGGCCCTGGAACGCAGCTTTTTGGAAAAAAATAAGCCATCCTCCCAGGAAATAGCGCGGATAGCAAAAGGCCTCCATCTGGAGAAGGAGGTGGTCAGAGTCTGGTTCTGCAACAGACGACAAAGAGAAAAACGGGTCAAAACCAGCCTGAACCTCAGCTCCTGTTTGACCAAACTCAGCCCACACTGCATCACACAGATGAGCAAATCACAAAGACCCATGACGTAGTTCAGGGTTCACCTTTAGTTCGATGGAGGCTCATTCATGACTTCACATGCTGGTGAAAATGTGCTCCTTTAAAATCAAATGTCTGACAGAAAAACCTTGAAAGTTGGGAAAGAAATCAGAAAGAACAACAAAAACTGCCGTCACTCTGCAACAAGCAGCTGCTGATACCCTTGAAACTATTCTATTGATTTAAAATTCAGATGATAATTTATATCCAGTGAAGGTCAGCCATATAAGAAAACAACTGAAAAACACCTTAGCTATAAAAGCATGAGTCATTGTCACTTCGTTACATGACTCCAAAGCAGAAAGTATTTAATTTAAAGAGACATCCCTTTTTGCAAATATACTGCAGAATCTTTGGTTTGTTTTTTACTTGAAGAGAAATGTGTATTTACAGTATTTAAAAGACTATATTCTCCTAAAAGAATCCCGTACAGGTGAGCCCTCAGTTCTGTGCCTTTCTAAAGACAGATATAAGCCTAACTTTTATTCTCCCTTTTCAAGACAAAATGTCTTTATTGTTGATGAAATGTTGTTCATTTAGATGTATTCTAGTTGTATTTGTTTGTTGGTTTATTTAGATTATCTGTTAAATTAAATTCATGTGTTTTATTTAAATGAATATAGCTGTTGCCAAAAAAGTTATATATTTAAAATGTCACAATAACCTATTTATTTGATCATATATTAGGTTGAGCTACTTTGCTGAGCACAACCTCTTTGATTTATGGTTTGACGTCAGGAGTATGTGAAACTTTCTGACATGTTGTCACCACATGGATCTGATGTTTCCCTAAAAGATAGATTTACTTCAGTTTGTTGATGTTCTGCTTTTGTTGTTGCTGCCTTGACAAAGTGCCATACAAAGAAGAACATCAGCCAGTCAAGACGTTGACCTGGTTGGGATGACGGATGTAAAACGTCTAAATAAAGTGAAGAAACAACTTATTTCTCAGACAAAATCTAGGATTTTATGTTCAGATACATCAGGTGCCATTGATTTGTGAAGGGAAGAAATGTACATTAGTATCCCACGTTATAAGAGTGCCGAAAAAATAAGCTATGTAAAAAATGTATTGCCATCATTCCAGTTGATTGAAAATATCGAGTAAATATGCCAAAGAGAGTTGATTAGCACATGTACTTACACACATATTGAGCTAGTGTCTTTCACTTCCTAGGCTCTAAAGCGTAAATCAGTTTAATGCATTTTTGACAATAAAGGAGAACCGTCTTTCATGCAGAGCTTCATGTACCATTGCTCATTTTTTACTAATGTCAAGACCCTGTGTAATACATTAGGTGGGAGAGTGAGGTTATGTGTACAGCATGAACCCAAACACTCTACGGGTAAGTCACCGGGGATTCATAAATAAAGCTGGAAGACACCTTCATTCAGGAACGTTTCTGCTGTGATTCTTGTACAGCGGTCTCTCTGGAGTGCTGTCAGGGGAAATAAATGCAGCAGGGTCATCGACACATTTCTGAGGCAGCGCGCTGAAAGTTATAGGCACAATGTGCTGAATAGGATACATCTATGGGCTTCTAAGTGCTGCTCTGAATGATGCGTCAACAACGCTACTGCTTTCAAATTTCACCTCATTAAGTTTGATGCTTCACTTTTTATATACAGTTGCAAGAAAAAGTATGTGAACCCTTTGGAATTACCTGGATTTCAGTTGGTCATAAAATGTGTTCTGATCTTCATCTAAGTCACAACAATAGACAAACACAGTCTGCTTAAACTATTACCACACAAACAATTATATGTTTTCATTGAACACACCATGTAAACATTCACAGTGCAAGGTGGAAAAAGTATGTGAACCCCTAGGCTAAAGACTTCTTCAAGAGCTAATTGGAGTCAGGAGTCAGCCAACCTGGAGTCCAATCAATGAGACGAGATTGGAGGTGTTGGTTAAAGCTGCCCTGCCCTATAAAAAATACACACCAGTTTTGAATGTGCTATTCTTAAGAAGCATTGCCAGATGTGAACCATGCCTCGCACAAAAGAGCTCTCAGAAGACCTACGATTAAGAATTGTTGACTTGCATAAAGCTGGAAAGGGTTACAACAGTATCTCTAAAAGCCTTGATGTTCATCAGTCCACGGTAAGACAAATTGTCTATAAATGGAGAAAGTTCAGCACTGTTGCTAGTACTCTCCCTAGGAGTGGCCGTGCTGTAAAGATGACTGCAAGAGCACAGCGCAGAATGCTCAATGAGGTGAAGAAGCATCCTAGAGTGTCAGCTACAGACTTAAAGAAATCTCTGGCACATGCTAACATCTCTGTTGACGAATCTACGATACGTAAAACACTGAACAAGAATGGAGTTCATGGGAGGACACCACGGAGGAAGCCACTGCTGTCCAGAAAAAACATTGCTGCACGTTTGAAGTTTGCAAAAGAGCACCTGGATGTTCCACAGCACTACTGGCAAAATATTCTGTGGACAGATGAAACCAAAGTTGAGTTGTTTGGAAGGAACACACAACGCTATGTGTGGAGAATCCAAAGGGTTCACATACTTTTTCTTGCAACTGTATTCAGAGAACATTGTGGTCTTTCCACTTATTTTATTTTTTTGCATATATCTGTAGCAATATTACTGAAACAATACGCATCCATTAAAGCACAATGCTTGTATTGCAATGTCTGATTTACTACAAATTATACACTTTAAACCACAGTTAAAGGGGCCCTATTGTGCTCATTTGTAGGTTAATATGTGTATATTGTGCCTTTACTTCAGAGAGAACTTTGGGATTGTAACCTTTGCAGAACATTTACATGCACAACACGTATTGAACACACTACAGGAAAGGGAAAGACCAAAAATACTAAATAAGGCCCCTTTAATGCCGTTTCAGTGACTGCTTTTTCTTTCAGACATTTGGATCCATCTTTTGATTTATTTACGAACTACATGTATGTAGAGTATTTCCGAGAATCAAATCAACTTTATCATCTTGGGGAACTTCCATCTGTGTCCGGTAATCACATTTTAAAGCAATTTTACTTTCTAGGATTGTGTAATTGGAAAGCAAAATAGTTGGCAAACCCCAAAAGCCCCTGACTTAACTTTTGACAGTAATGCCAAGAAGCAGAATCCCATCCTCTGATCAGCAGATTGAGCTCTGGGAGACTGACACTATAGAGTCCCTCAGGCAACTGAACATCATTTAAGAAGTTAATATTCTTTCAATAGTGGTGCACAATAAAGATATATTCTATTCTATAAGCAGATTGCTGCTCGCTTTAACTTGAGCAAGATTCAAGATTGTTTCATTCATGATGTGGAAATGAATTGGAACCAGGAAGAAAGAAATCTGAAAAAGAAATGTGGAAATCGTTTGTTTGTTGTTCAAAGCAAAAACCAGAAATGCTCTCCAACCTGTACCTGAAGAAACTTTATTCATTATAAAAGCCATAAACCCTTTACAGAGTCACTTTACAATGACTAAAACTAATTCAGAAGAGTATACATACACCTTTGTTCCAAAAGTGTGGACATTTCCTAAGCATGGAACTGCCCTGAAACATTGTCGAAATCGGCTAAGACTTTGTTTCCGCTCACAATGGACTGTTGAAAAGGTAGAGGAAAGTATGATATACAAGATGAATTGTGAATTGTCCATGTCAGGTGCATGCAGGAATAAAACTATTTAGTATTTTGTTTTGGCAATGAGGAACAAAGAGGCCAGAGAATGAGAAAAGACAAAAACCTGATATGTCCCCGTCACCCTCATGAAGCTGGCCAACTTGATTTGTTTTAGAGTAAGAGAAAACAAGAGAAAACATCTCCTGGATCAGTTTAATTTGAGCAAACACTTCCATCATGTTGTTGCTGTCGTGTGTGTGAGCGATACATGAGAGTAACTGCACAGCAGCTGAAAGAGAGGAGCGACTGCGGAACAGAGCGTCCAACAATCACTGTTTAAATCCATGTCCATTATAAGATACACAACCAGATCAACCCACAATTACAAAAGAAAAACTAATATGATTACCCAAAAGCATCAACCAATTAAAAAAACTCAATAAGCCAGTCTCCCATTAGTCCTATATTGTGTTTGATTACATTTTCACACACAACCCCTACAGCATTTCTTCTTCAGTGGTGCTAATTAAATGCTCGCCCTCGGATTAACCCGCTTCACCGCCTCATGCATTATGTTGAAGTAAAGTGAAAGCCTTACCCTAATCTGTTATACATGTTACATGCATACGAGTTACATCATCTCCAGTAACTACAGTAGCGTACCTAAGGGTTTTAAAACATGATGGTTAATAAGCTAGTTGCTACATTTGTTTGGAGACAGTGACCGGTTGTCGATGTCGCTTTTTTCTCCTGCGTGGTAAAGTAACCGTGTCTCATTTCTGACAGCCCAGGATATTTCACCCACATAACAATGACAAACATGGAGAGGAGGATAGTCTGCCTCAGAGGAAGGGAATCGTTTAAATGCTTTAAAAAGGAACAATATAAGTTCCATCTGGTTACCGACAACCCTTAAGCTCTTTTTTTAATTACCAGGTATTACTCATAAAAACTTGCATTCATCTCCAGCCGCATAAAAGCTGATCATATGACTAAAGACCAAAACAGCAGATGGGTCGAGCCAGTTCCACGGTCTCAGACACTGTAGCCCTTTTAAAGACAGAGATGGGAGGTAAACAGCGTGGGTGGATGAAAGCTCTTTACATGTATTATTGGTACACCTTCCAGTGTCATAATAAATATTATTTTCGCATAAATAGATCAGATGTTCTGCCTTAAGGCGACCTGCCGTAGAAAGTGTGGATATGTGTAGGTTAATATACATGTTTGTCCTTGAATGTCTTAAAGGGACAGTTCATAATTTAAAATACATGTTTTTCTCTTACCTTTAGTGCTATTTATTTATCAATTGATCTAGTCTGTTAGGCTGAGGTAGCTCATGTTATCAGCCGAGGAGAACACAATGTTCCTTGGCTTGGCGATGCAGTATAAAGGAAGTAGTTCCTATGGAAACTGTTCACAAAAAGGTCTGTGGGTTACCTTTCACAAGTCACATTTAGCTCTGTTTTACTCGAAAGAAGGCAGACATGTCTACGGCCGATATCTCCAACAACTTATAACTATCAAATCTAAATTGATAAAGCACTTCAGTTAAGATTTAAAAAATGTATTTTAGTGGAGAACTGTCCCTTTAATGTGTGTTGGTGAGCACCCTTTCTTACACCTGTAGCATTTCAACAATGACAAATCCAATGTGTCTGAAAGAGTCCGTGTCACTCAGTCTTAATGTGGCACAGGCCTATAGTGCCAACATTAACACAGAGAAGACCATTAGTCCACCCCCAGAGCTCGGAGCTGTCTC